TAAACTCATCGTAGCACACAAATCAACTTCCAATTTCAGGAAAACTGTCAAAACCGAAAGCAAAACTAGAAGCTCATGGGCAACGTAATGTTGTATATAGACTACGTCGTAGAAATTCCGAAAAGGACTATATTGGCCAAACAGGTAGAAAATTAGCAACATGAACACAAGAGCACAAAAAGCACGCAAAAGGCACTATGCATCATAACTAGTCTCAGCACACGTGGACGAAAAAGTATACAGCATCGATTGGCACGTGGCGAAACAAGAAGAGAAAGGGAGTTCCTGCAAGCGTGGTTCTCAACAAAAGATTCAATAAACATGCATGTCGACATCGACCCAGTTTACCAGCCCCTCCGACGGAAAGACGTTAGAGAAATTACGAGACGCCGCTTGAATATGAACAACTCGAGCGACGACTTCCACGGCGGGGAAAATGCATAGAGATCTCGGGGAGCAGATAGAAGCCATCACTCTCAAAGCGTCACCTGCATGCCAATCACAGATCGACAATTCAATTTGCGAGATTACACTCCACGTCTCAGTGCACTGATGATGCCACCTCGCATGGTGGTGAAACGTTTGCAAACAAATTTCCAAGCTTGGCGAAAGAATAAGCAACTGAATGACAGACTTATTAGAAGACTTCATTTCGCCTTTGTAAAACCACTTCGAGGTGTGATCGGGAATCCTATGACATTGGCACCTCGTAGTGCGACCCAGGTATCGTGCACCAAGGGTGCACGAGTACTCAGAAACAATCGAGTCAGTGAAAACAGTCTATACTTCAGTTTTTATAAGCCAATTGGCGCGAAGAAATTTCTTTCCGACAATTCACATCAGGCGTGTACAATTATGATGCTAGTAATCAAATGAATATTACGCTATTTCTAGCCAGGTAGTACGTGTTCGGATAAGGGAAGTGTGCAGTGGTTCAAATCAAACAAACTACAACGGGTCAACTGCCTTAAGGTCATATGACTAGGCTAAACCCACGGCGAGATAATGGCTTGCACCAGAGTCTTCTGCTTACACAGTTCTGGCTGTAGCAATCTGATTGCAATGGCTACAGCCGTAGTTTGTAAATGCCTTTTGGGCCCTATTGGGGTCCGCTTCGGTACAGTGTAGCAAGTCTAGCTCCTTAGCTCTTATTTAGTCTCCGGTGTTAAGTAGGTGTTCTAATATGGAGCTGTAGACATTCTTTATCGTACCGTGCGGCAATGATGCGGGGCAGTGTTCAGCAATCCTCTTCCACAGACGTTTGATCGTATGTCCAATATATATTTAGTACCACAGGTGCAGGTAAACTGATATACAACGTTGAGGCTCAATTCGCTAAAATGACTATTGAAATTGGGGCAACGCAACATATCATCCAACCGACGCGCGTAACTCCGTACTCGGCATCTTGTCTGGACCTAATGTTTACGAGCTGCGAGCAGAAGCTAAAAGAGATCAGAGTCATCGAACCTCTGGCGAACAGTGACCACTGCTCTATTGTAGCAAGCTTAGAACTGTCGTTACCATATTACAATCAACAGAAGCCGACATTCAACTATTGGAAGACGGACTTCAACGGACTCGTCCAAGCCGCAAGTCAGACTGATTGGACACTACCACATGATGCGTCACTTGAGGCGTGGTGGTCATTAATAAAGGGGAAGCTTAAATCGCTCTGTACTCGGTTCGTTCCCCTTAAGTATCCAAAAATCGGACCTGTCAAACCGCATTGGTTTGATAGGGAATACAGACAGTTAGCGCGACGACGTCGTAAACTTTGGGATAAATACATCAGCTCGGGTTGTGATGAAGATTACGCGGTGTACAAGAAACAGCGTAACTTATGTAACGCCGCAAAGATCAAGAAACGCCGGCAGTTCGAAGAGGAACTGGCATCCTCGGCCGCAACTGCACCCAAGCGAATAGTTGCCTACTTGAAACGTCAACTGAAACCTGGAGACGACCTACCGGTCTTAGAGAGCTTAGACGGGAAGACACTCATTTCAAGCGCGGAGCGCGCGGACGCCCTGGCTACGCACTTCCTCACTGTATTTTCCAGTAAACCGACGGCCGTTCCAGTACCAGCACAGGTTGCGCCAGTCTTGCTCGACAGCCTACAATGTGATGCAGTCGAAGTACATCAGCTACTCGTCAACCTCAATGGTGCAAAGCCCCCCGGGCCAGACGGACTTCACCCACTAATACTCAAGTCCCTATCGATTATCATGTCACCAGTTGTGACAAACCTTTTCAATAGATCGCTCTCTGAAGGATCCGTCCCGAACGACTGGAAATGCTCGATAGTTAAACCGCTTCCCAAGGGTGGTGATCAGAGTAAAACAGAGAACTATAGATTGATCTGTTTGACTTCGGTATTATCCAAAGTTCTCGAGAAGGTTGTGAAAAAATGTCTGCTGTCGTTCTTCGAATCGATGGACATATTGACGCCAGCGCAACACGGCTTTACGAAAGGGCGATCCTGCATCACCAACTTGATGTACGCAAACCACCAGTGGGTTCGAGCTCTCAATGAACAGAAGGATGTTGACGTGGTGTACATCGACTTTAGTAAGGCGTTTGATAGAGTGAACCACGAGGTACTCCTTCGTAAACTGAGGACATACGGAATCGGTGGCACGTTACTTCTGTGGATACAAGAGTTTATTGTGGGACGAAGGTTTAGAGTACAGGTCAATGACTATCTGACAGAATGGTTCTCATCGACCAGTGGCGTGCCTCAAGGAACTGTACTTGGGCCAGCATTATTTCTTATTCATATCAACGATCTTCCGCAGCAGCTCCAGTCACCATGTGTCCTGTTTGCAGATGATTTGAAAATCTGGAGGATCATTGAAAACCAGGACGACTGCGCTCGCCTCCAGCATGACTTAGAGCGACTGTCAACGTGGTCCACTGAAATGCAACTCCCTCTTAACGCAGGCAAGTCGGAGTTTATCAGTATCACCAGACGTCCAGCCACTCGATCATACACCTTGGACGGCCAGTTGCTCCATCCCAACACATCTGTCAGAGACTTAGGAGTTCTCTCACGACATGATTTAAGATCACTAGAAAATACAGAGAAATTGTACCGTGCGGGACTTCGTATGCTCTGGGCATTACGACGCAGTTTCTCCACATGGTCCGAAGAAACCGTCCCTCGTCTATTCACCTCGCTCATTAGACCAATCCTTGAATACGGTGCCCCAGCTTACCATCCGATAACCCAGTGGGAAACTGAAAAATTGGAGAAAATACAGCATATCGCAACTAGAATGATACCAAGTCTACGAAAGCTTCCATATGAAAAACGTTGTGAAAAGCTCGGACCCTACACACTATCCTATCGCCGAGTAAGAATTGATCTTATTATGACCCATCGAGTACTACACTTGAATCACTTCCCCATACTACGGCCAATATTTCACCTGCGAGAACCCTGTAACACCCGAGGACATCGTTACAAACTCAGGGTCCCCAGCATGAACAAAGTATCACATCAGCTTTGTATCGAACGAAGAATCGTAAACTTATGGAATACACTACCAGAAGGATTAATAGAGGCCGATTCTGTGAAGTGTTTTAAAACCCGTATCGACGATTATTTTGGAAACCTGTGCTTTTGTGAAACGATGCACATACAGTGCCAAAAGAATACATTGTATGTCCGGAAATAATGACGCTAATACAAATTTCTAACCGAACACGGATAAACGATCAACAGACCAGACACAACTGCTGATAATTCACAAGTAAATTTTGATTTTTCGTAATTCGATAGAGTTGTACAGAAACCTTTCTACTTGCTCTTAAATACAGTCTCAGTCTCAGACTCAACCGGAAGCCTATCTTTGGGGCGCTGCGTAATGAGAAGGGCTGTTTCAGCAAGAATGTGGACTCAGGCTGCCGGATAGGTTTGATTTACTGCAGTTGACACCTTTCTGCAAAGTAGCTCGAAGGGATATCTCCATTGAAAGGAACTGAAAGAAATACATCCTTCTTTCTGACAGTCACCATAGTCGTATGGTGATCCCGGACAACAGAATTCAACTTGATGAAAGCTGCCGGATAGCCGTTGGTTTCTAACGTTTTCAAAATGAAATCTTTCTCCTCATCCGACCTCTCCGGGCTGCAGACTTTCGTGGCTCGATAGTACAGAGTACGCACTAGGTTTCTTTAGTATTTCATAGGAACGAAACTATGAAAGTGTGCGTACTGTCCAACCCAAGTTGTCTTCCGGAACAGCCTTCTTTTAAGAGAGTCATTGTCACGTCGTCGCAGCAACACATCTAGGAAAGATAGCTTACCATTGTCCTCGAGCTCGCAGGTAAATTTTCGCGACGGATGCGCGTTGTTGAACTGATCCGACAGATGAATTTTATCGGCTTTGGAGTAAAGTATTGCTATAGTATACTATGCGCCAGCGAACCGCGAAGGCGACAATGCGGCTGATGTCCAGACCAAAGGCCTAAAAGACGCGGCTCATTTGTGCATTGTATATTAGAACTAATAGCTCTTGAAGTCACAACGAAATGATGTACAGTGATATACTGCATCACCAACCGGTTTTTAGGCTCCATTTGACAAACACAATCTTCCCGGTTTACCACAACGTCACTTTGATACACTGGGTTAGCAATGAAATTAAGTGTGTTTAGTTTTCGCAAGCTGTTGCTCAACGATGGGGCTACCCTGGCCTCTGCAAGGCAGTAGTGAGCCGTTGTATAACCCAATTAGTAGCTTACGCATATCGGTAGTTGCCGTCCCTTGTGACTAATCGGTCCGAATCAAGAGTTCAAGTCCCATTCGCAAAGCATGGAATGCCCACTGCTGTCGATTCCAGATGGGATGAAAAGGCCATCCAGTGAGTTCCTGGACGTATGATAGCTGTGTGACTGGGCTCATATATAGTGAATCTCAACTTGTACCATAAAAAACCTCCGACTACTCCAGGATAATATAGAATCGGTGGACAGAGAGGAGTATACAAGTGAGCATACCTGTACGTCCTGATTGTGCAATTGCCGTAACAGAACGCGATCGTCTTGAGCGAGGTCCGCTGTAAGATCCAGTTGAAACAGAACAGAAGCAGCCCGATGAAAAACATACGCGGCATATCCTCCGGAACCACTACCCATATGACGATACATGGCGGGCGCTTCATAGGGATAGGTGGTGTCCAATTCTCCCGAGTAGCATATGTGAGCCAATCTGTTTCGAACCAAAAGAAGTACTTTAAAAGTAGTTGGGTAGGAAAGGGAAAGCGCAGTATCTAAGTGAATTAACGTGTGACCGGGGCCATTCGCCGAGACCGGCAATCGAGTATACGCGAGCACAAGGCTATGGGAAGCTCAAACAATGTATTAATCATTAGAAAATGCCAAAACGGAATGATTGATTGGTCGACAACTTGACCTACACAAAAATACTGTTCACTCTGTAGTCTGACCAACAGCCAACATGTCAGGGAGGAGGGTATGTCGGGACTTAAGCGAAGTGTCCCAATTCTTTCGGAAGAATCAACGAGGAAAATCTCGTTCAATTCTCCTGCACATAATGATGGTTATCTGGCGAACACAGACATTAAAACGAAATCCTTCCGGTCAAAAAGTGTCGCATATTCACTAAGGCATGGTTACTTATCGTCAAAAGCGGAATAAGTTCATCAGTAACACAGGCGTTGCTGCTAATTCAGCTTCCAAGAGAGGTGAGTAGATCACGTAGTTCCAGGTTATCGCCGTCAAGGAGCATCGAACTAAAAAAAAGTAGCTGGTGATCTTGCAACAGTGCTTTGTGCTTTAAAGGTGGAAAGCTCACATGGCACTCGGGGAATTGTTAAAGTGCTGATTGTGACGATTTCGTCAACATCGTCTAGAACAACTACTTCCACCCCGGAAAGACGGTGCGTGACATTCTGACCATGAGTATGCTGATACAGAGATGGTTGAAGTTAGAGAAATGTTGGTAAAGATGATTAAAATAACCGAACAGGAGTATTACTACGAAGAAATGCCGATCGAAACTAATGATGACGCCATACGTTACGATGTCTGTGAGAAAGAAATATGTTGAGCGGTTAGGACTTAAAGGATAAGAGGTACTTCTGGGCCGAAGAAATTCTCACACTGCTTGATGAGTCCAAACGAGGACAAAACTGGTCGTGAGATATCACTACTGGGAGAGGGCAACATCGAACCCGCTTCACTACGGATACGGTCCTAGTGATCAAAAGGACCGAGGTCTGCTTCAAGGTAAAACGAGATTGCGTGTCGTAGTTCGACTACAACGCTGGTACTCCAAGGCCAAGGTTTGAACTCGTACTCTGTATATAGCACATATAACCGATGCAATCATTTGAATGCTGGACCACCCACTTGCAGAAGCAGAAGAGAAAGGCCTCGTTAAAAGTATCAAGGACACGGCGCTTTTAATAAAGCGCTTCTGGTCATATACTTCCATAAAAATGGCTGAGAAGCTATCAGTCATCATTATTCATCATTATACACATCAGCTAGAGGTGGGAAAAACACCTCCGCTATTGTGCCGCAATACATGAAGGAAGTACATACATACATACAATACAATACACAAAGGAGAAGTAGATACAACAGTTGCATGCCAGCTGAGCTACCAGCAACGGATAGGCATCGTTCCGGTAAGCTTCCAGCCAGCTACTAGGCAAAAAAATATTATGTTTTACCCTAGGAAATGAGATCGTAGATGGATGGGGAGGCTGAAAGGGATGGGGAGGGACAAAGAAACTCACAGCATGAACGCCACTGAGGTCGGCTCCTTGCCATGTCAGCAAGTGTATCCAGCCAAACGTGTTCACCGTCTTTTGGACCCCAACCAGGGAGCCGTGAAGCTCCAACCGAGGCTAGCTCCGAGGTGAGGGACTTCATTCCCCTGGATCAAGTCATCGCTTGGCCACCTTTCCTCTTCTTCCACCCACATCCCCGGTGAGCAAACAACGCACGTCGAGGGAGTCGGTGGGCTGGCATGCGTAACATGTGGCCGAGCCATCGGAGCCTGGTGCGGGAAATAACGGTGCTGAGCGGTTCAGATCCTTTTCCTGGGCCGTAAACAATGCGTCGAACACGCTCGTTACTCACGCGGTGTTCCCACCAGATGTGTGCCAAACTGCGAAAGCACCGATGATCGAACGTAACTAGCCTCTTCATGTCCGCCGATCTTAGGGGCCAGGTTTCGCAACCGTACAGTAAGGTCGAACGTACCGCTGCATTGTACACTCTACCCTTCAGGGCGAGAGTGATGTCGCGCCGCCGCCAAGGGTGGCGAAGGTTAGCAAAAGCACTTCGAGCTTTCGCTATACGGTTCGTGATCTCGTCTTCGATCCCAAGGGCGCTGATACAACTTCCCAGGTAATTGAATTTCTGAACGACTTCTAGCTGATCCCCACCAAGGGTCAGCGCAGGAGGCGATCCCTGCCAATCTTGGAGGAGCGCTTTGCACTTCGATGGTGCAAAGCAAAGCCCGAAGCGGCTGACAGCCAGTGCTAATCTGTCTAGCGCGGCGTGGCACGTCTGGGAGCTGTCACAGATGAGGGCAATGTCGTCTGCATACTCCAAGTCAAGAAGTCGTTCTCCTGGGAGTAGCTCCACACCTTCCAAGTCATGTCCTGTAAATGCAAACTCCATGACTTCGTCAATAGCGAAGCTGAAGAGGAAAAGTGACAGCGGGCATCCTTGTCTCACACCGCTGGAGATATTGAAGGGTGGCGACAGCTTGCCGTAAGCCCTCACTCTGCCCGTGCTACGCGCATATAATGCTTGGATAATATTTACATATTTCTCGGGCACACCTTTCCTGAGTAGACAATTCCAAAGGGCACATCGATCAACCGAATCGAAGGCACCTTTGATGTCGAGGAACACGACTACGGTGGGCCGCCAATATGTGTGGCGGTGCTCCAACAACTGACGCAAAGTGAAGATGTGGTCAATGCAGCCACGACCACGACGAAACCCGGCTTGCTCTTCACGAATCTGGCTTTCACGAGCGCCAGTCAGTCTGTGAAGAATTATGGAGGCGAGTAATTTGGAGGCGATGGAGATCAGACTGATTCCTCTATGGTTGCCGCATTCCGAGCGCGAGCCGCCTTTGAAGATGGGAACAATAACGGAGCGGCTCCAGTCGGTTGGGACAGTCTCCTGCTCCCACAGTTTCACTAGTAATTCATGCAAAGCATCCACAAGAGCAAAGCCTCCAAATTTGAAGAGGGCTGGAGGAAGATCATCTGGTCCCGCGGCTTTGTTCAACTTCAACAGTCGGATCTCACGTTCGACTTCTGAGCGAGAGGGTGGATCCAAAGGGACAGCCCACGGAGCAGGGCGATCAGTGACCGGCGAATCGGACAATTCTAGCCGATTAAATTGCTTTTCAAAATGCTCAGCCCAACGCTCCAAACGTTTTGACAATTTGTGGATAGGCTGTCCACTCTCATCACAAATTGTTTCACTAACACCAGGTCTCCTGCTGCCCGTTTCCCGTATCAGACGGAATAACTTACGATGGTTGCCAAGGGCAGCGGCCACTTCCATCTCTGACGCACGATGAGACCACCAAGATTCGCGGTCTCTCTTCAGGCTAGCACGGAGTTTTGCCCGGAGCTCTTTGCGAGTTTCATTGTGTTCGCTTCCAGCCGGGATATGCCGGCGAGCGTCGATAAGTTCCAGAGACCGAGAAGAGACCCAATGTCCATGTGGGCTTTTAGACATACCACATGAGGATTTGCCCGCTGCTAGTAAGGTCTGGCGAACATGTGACCAGTGACCATCAATTGTCTCCAGTGAGCGAGTACTCAACTCGCATGTCAGCGTACTTTGATACGCATTCAGAACAGCTGGTTTTGTCAGTTGGCTGGTGTCAATACGCTCACAGCGTCGTCGTGGGCGTCCTCCAAAGCGCATCCGCATGTCAGCACATACAAGTGCATGATCAGTGTACACACATGTGCTCCAAATCGAGCGACAATACTGGATGCAGCCTCTCCAGCGGTAACTGAGAGCAATGTGATCGATCTGCGTCCAAGGCTGGTTCGAGGCTGGTGGGCGCCAAGTCACCCTCCGGCGGGTGCTGTGTCGGAAATTAGTGCTCGCAAGAAATAAACGAGCATCTTCACACAAATGAAGTAACCGCTCACCGTTATCATTACGGGAGCCTACACCGTGCTGACCGCCCAGATGCAGTTCATCAGTGGACAACTTTCCAACTTGTGCGTTCATATCCCCCTCCAGAACAACAGTGTCCGTGCTTCTTCTGTGGCGAAGGAGCTGAGTCAGTTGGCGGTAGAAGTCGTTCTTTACCGAATCCTCGCTACAGTTTGTGGGCGCGTAGGCAGCGATAATGAATAGACATCTATTAGTCCCGCGCGACTTCGAAGCTTTAGAGGAGCCAGCCAATCGGACCGCACACATCCGGCTACTGATTGGAATCCAATCAACCAGAGCAGCTTCAGCCCGGGGACTCAGAGCAATGCCAACACCAGCTTGGCCGGTGCTCGAAGCTGCATCGTCACCGGATAGGCGCAATGAGAAAATACTGTTTGCGTCACCTGAAGGGGATCGCAGAGTGAGCACAGAACTCGAGTCTTGCAGGCGGGTCTCTGATAAGCAGCAGATATCGATCGAGAGGGTCTCCAATGTTCAGGCAAGTGCTGCCTGTTGACCGATCTGTAGTAGTGTGCGTACATTAAGGCATGCCAATCTGAAGGAAAATCGAGGGCTCCAAATGGAAGCCGATGAACTGGATTGGACCGCTTGGTTGGACATGGGCTTGTCGACAGGAGAGGAGTGACGCTTCGCGTTCACATGTGAGTTGAAACTAGAAGATAAATGCCTAGCAAAGCATGTTGGGGGAGGGCCAAGAATTGGGGGGTTGAAAACAGGGGGGATATAAGTGAAGTTGGAAGGGGACGGTAAGAGTGAAAAAGCGTAAGATGGGGAATAAGAAGACGGGAAGGCTTGAGCAGTAGCATCCAAACCCCTATCCACCCTGCTCGATGCAGCAGATAGGGCACCGTTGATTATCCTCTGCGGTGGCCAGAGCATCAGCAATTTGTTTGAAGTGTGAGAAGCTATCAGAAACTACCTAAGACCTTTAAAACGCCTTGATGTCTGATTTCACGTCCAAAAGTGTTATCAATGGTTCGCTCCAACGCGAAAGCACCTCTGTATTGCTTCAAATTTCTGCTGACGTCATCGGTATGGAAACCGTCTTCCTTAACATAGTGAGCATTCGCTGATAGTGAGCGAGACAACGAACATTGCACTATCTATGCTATCGACAATGCAATAACAATGAGCGACGTGGTGCTATGTGACAGTGGGATGTGGTGGTTCCGCTGCATCCATTGTTTCACAAACATGGCCTCAAAGCGTTCCGGTGGCCAGTTATCGTCACAGTGGTGGCAGTAGCGGCATAATCCATCACTGTGAACACGTTTTGCACGCATTGGCGGACCTGGAACCGCATGGTCGACTATCGCGCGCATCACCTAGGTAGTGTAGGACCAATACGAAACAGCGAACACACATAAATTGGTTCCTTCGGATTGACAGCGATATCACATGACCCAAACGTTCTGTGTCGTATTGTTATGGTTGAGAAGACGTCGAAGGAATAGTGGCAACAGCTTCTACCACTACAAGTCCCCCAAAAATTCCATAAACAAGGGCTCCTTTGTCTACACGGCATTCATCAAGGGAAAAGGTGTAGTATAAAATGAACAGACCTACAGTCAGCTCCCTCCCATGAGATCAACTTGGATGTACGGTTACTGAATGAACAACGGCTGCTAGTTTCAAATGCTATAGACATAATGTCTGGTGAGAGGAAGTCATGACCTCGGAGGCTAGCCACTGTCAGTTGCAAAGGCAGTAACCTGCATGGCAGTGGAAAATAGATAGTGCTATATCCCAATTAGCTTGTAAATTATGTAGCCCAGCCACCGTCCCAATAGCATAGTGGTCTAAGCTGCTGGCTAGTTGGCGTCGGCATCTATCGGTCATGGGTTCGATCCCCAGTAGGGGACGGAGGGAATGCGCGCCACTGAGGAGCCCCAATAGGACGAAAAGCGTCTGGTGCTTTTCCGGATTGTGGGTGAGTTCTGAAACTTGTGATCTTTTGGGATGAATACGTTAAAATTACTACTAGAATCCATCTCTTCATTTGTAAGAAAAGACATCGCACGATAAACGAATGATTGAACAAAAAATCGTAAGGTGACTTGCGAATCGTACCAAAATGAAGGGTGAGTAACTCACTCTGACAGATACGCTTGACGCTGTGCATCTAATTCGGCGGGACCAATTAGAAGATCGCGGTGGTTTTCGTCTGAATCGGAAGTTGATACTAATGGGGACACCAATGACAGCAAGGTGCCCAGTTCGCTGGAAGCTAGTACCAAATCAACATCCGGAACGGAGTTACCATCAATTGACGACGATTGTGTGGTGGCAAATTCGGACCGCGATGCTTCCAGCTTTTTGTCAAAGCAAGGCATGACAGTGACATGATACACATGCTGGGGGTTGATTTGTTTCACAAATCTCCCGGCTATTTGCTGAGGGGATCGAATGGTGGACAGATGAGGGAGGATGGAGAACGTCTGACTGAGAGTAGCGTTCTCGGAGACAGGCGAGGAACCACACAGGGTTTTCTCTGCATAACATACCCAACCTGTACGAGAGAAAAGCATGGTGTATTAAGTACAGGTGAGTAAGGGTCCGGGTGTGTTAAAACAAACTGATGCACGTTAATAGCGTCCAAATAAGCCGAAAAGCACGTAGCAGATAGTGTCTGTGTTTGAAATGGTAAAGTAGCATGCCAAAATACACCTGCATGAGGATTCAGCTGCGCTAACCTGGACAAAGTAATTAGGAAAGGATAGTTTTCCTATACGCCTAATAACACAGGACAACAAATTTTTTGAATTTTCTGCTGCAAGAGATCTTAAAACTGAGTATACATGAATTTTTTAACGCTGATTTCCAATCTGAAACTCGTCTTTTTTCTTCTTGCCGTAGTTTTCCGCTGTGAGATTTCACATAAATAGAAAGTTAGATACCAATCCACTTTCGTTTCAAATCTGATCTGGGCTCACTCAAGTCGACAGAAATGTGTAAATTAACCTGATGCATTTTGCTATACATTCGGCTACTATACACTTGTTCGTCATTGGATATATCACTTCGTTTTTGAAATGAGCAAGACCAAAAATGGACACCTCACATTGTGCGCCATTATGGTGAGGAAATGCTTCGTGAGTGGAAAAAAGGCAAACGCAAATAATTATTAACATCAAATGTCCTGAACACAACTGGGTAGTTTGTGTTAATATGTAAAGGTGCTCCTTTGTCAGCAGACACATACACAAAGTTCCCATGTTATCCTCGTTTGTGGAACAGTCGAGCTCATGAAAAGCATCGGATACAAGAGGAATGACCGAGATATGGAATTCTGTAGGCTGGCATGTCAAACACAGTGAATGATCCATTGTCAGCAAAGATCATATTTCCCTACTGTATTTGAAACTTGGCTTCAAGAAACAGTTTGTGAGAGATTTAAATACTGATGGTGACTGTTTTCAGTACGTAGTTTTCCCTTTTCCGTCTTTGTCTTTGTTGAAGATTAAAGCTAGTGTTTTTGTCGGCCCTCAAATTCGAACTCTGGTGTGTGACGGAGAAGTTGTCTCAACAATGAATGCCAAGGAGATGAATGAGTGGCAGTCATTTGTGGCGGTTATACAAAACTTGCGTGGGAACAAAAAATCAGATAAGTATGAGGAAAAGATTAACAGAATGTTTCTGGCATTTCGCTATCTTGGATGCAACATGAACGTCAAGCTGAATTTTTTGAAAGTCATCTCTGATCAATTCCCCGTAAACATCGGACGGCTTACTATGTTGTTGGAGCATCAAACATGATGGCTCTAAGAAAACATTGCGACACAAAAGCTGTAAACGCCAATTCTTGCCCGATTAATGCCTATTATGCATCTAGCTTTGTGCTTATTTCATGCTGGCTTGCCGAACCACCTCCTCGTGATGCCAGCTGAGTGGTTCGGGATTATCCCGTTCCAGCAAATCCTTCGGCGGCAATCTTCCAGGACATGGTGGGTTTTCGCCTGGCAAGCAATATCCCTATAAAAGACCACATGCTTCATACTGGCGAAGCATTGGATTCCAGCAACTTAATGCTGAAATTATGAGGGGCATTGGGTCCCTGGTTGGTAAACCAACAAACGAAAGGCGTACGAACTGCACAATAAGTCACCGGCCGCGATTCTCTGAATTCGCTCCGCTGCCTTGCGGGCAGGCCATTCGGCCAAAGGCTAGGGGTGGTGTCCCGTAAGTCAACACTCTACTTCGGCTTGGGCAACCGGATAGTATCTCGCTCTCTGACGAAACCATGGACTCCTCCGTTGTCTGCGGTCCATTGCCCGTGTGTGGTGGCGGCACCACGTAAGCAATGTGGAAGTTAGCCAGCGTGTTTTAGGATGTGGAACCCACTCGCTCGAGGAGCTCGTCTCATTGCATCAACTGCGGTCGTTGGGATACGTATTGCGCATGCCTGTTCAGCCTTACTCGCATCATGCGTTTTTTGCGGCTGTTGAACAGGGCTGGAAGAGACGGTCTGGTGGACAGCCTACAACTTGGAGAAGCCGCATGAAAAAGCTGACGGAAGAGTTGGCCTCGGCCGCTTGTTGTCGACTACCTGGTTGGGGTCCGAGAGATGCGGATACTTGCTGATTGAAGACGTTGGAAGTCATGGCTCAAGATCGATGTCAATGACGGACGTGTGCATCGGTGTGTTGCGGTGTCCCTCCTTCCTCCCCCTAAAAAACACTGAAAAAAGGTCAAAAACTGTGTGGTAAACTGGACAAAATAGCTTTTGTTCTTATTGTTGTTATTTTCCTATTGTTCATAATGTTTTCCTATTTAGCCATGATTCCGATGGCACAATATCTGTACCACAGATTGTGTACTATATATATATATATATATATATATATATATATATATATATATATATATATATATATATATATGGCTGGCGGCATCCGGTTTCGGATTTGCCTGTCACTGTGGTCAGCCACAGGACGCCTGCGCCTACAGAGGGACCATGGGTGGCTTGCGCTGCACCACCCACAGCTCCAACCACACACCCCATATCCAGTGTAAACCCGAAGGAATAAGACCAGGAGGCATGTGGCTGGGAGCCACATTTCATCAACGGAGCCGGCCCACACTCCTTCACAGGCAAACACAAGCACACTGTATTTGGGGAATCAAGCGCACCCAAGGCGGTGGCTGGACCGTAGTCCGCTCCACACTGAGTGCATGTAACCACTCTGCGAGCCTAGCACGGCCACAACGACCGTGCACCCCGTCCCCTCCATCAACGACCAACTGTCTCCTGGAGCCAGTATGGACGAGGTAGTGGGTAATAGACAGGTAGGCACCTTGTCAACATGCACATCAAGCGCAGCCACACCGGGGATATCACGCAACAGCCAATCACTTGAAACGACAAAATAAAATAAATCCAATAATGCATACATATACCGTGGCATAACTCTTCGCTAAATTAGCATATGAAGTAAGCTGGCTAGCAATGAATCCGCGATAAGGAAAAAATGTCCACAAGTTACTCAAAAATGCTACAAACGCAACAAAATTACCGAAGATAAGCGCAATTAGCGTAAGCGACGGGGCCAGCTAATAGAAGACTATTCAGATAGACAAAACTAACCAAATAAACTGGAATGAAATTTATGCAGCTTAAAGAGACCTAGTTTAAGTGTAAGTTGGTTTAGCCCAACTGTGGTGAAGAAGCATCAAGAATGCAACATCAGCCTTAGCATGGGGCATATATATATATATATATATATATATATATATATATATATATGCCTATTTGTAGCCTGTTTCAAATATCTTTATTTATATATGCCCAATAAAAGCGTAATGTTGATATATGTTTGCATCAATTTATATATTTAGGATACATCGGATCATAGACCATTAATGGGAATACTTTCATCTTTAGCAAAACTCTTTATAGTCAATTTGTTAAAAAAATCCGCAACTTAAAGCAAAAAACAACTGCTGGATCTGAATTCAACATGTTCAAAATATACAAGAACCAATGTTAGTTTCTTCGCAGCAAAATGTGGTTGTGCAATGCGATCTAACAAAAAGTAGCTAAAAGTTGTGAAAAGTGAAAATTATGGTCAACATTCACGAAAATCTATAGCTTGCAGAGAAAATTAAATATCAGATAAGGATTAAACACAATTAAATTATATAAGAACCATTGTTCGTTTTCTTGTAGCAGAAAAGTTGATGAGCATTGTAATCTACCCACTGGTTTTCCGAATTAATCAATAAAACTAATTAATAACTCGGAAGAAACGTGACCCTGTGAGTTGTCACAGTCAATGTGGAGCGTCGGTTACGCCGTTCAATCCCTGTCCCGAGAAGATGCTAAGTATGTCCCAAACCTACCAGCTTTGGACACCCATAAATGCAGGACATCAGCACTCGGCCGGCTGTTCGCATCGACGCATCTGCAACTACCAGTGGTTACGCGTGAGCTAGCATATTGCCAGGTCACACATCCGCAGAGGCCCGAATCGGCGGCCCATGGAATACAAGCGGAACACCCGAATCGATTAGCGCCAGTCAGTCGAAAAATTTTCTACATCCTAGAAAGCATGCAAAAGACAGAATGATCTGTTCAGTTTGATAAGTGAATTTAAGAAAATAAATATGCAGCAGATTACACTACCCATGGACCCCATCGCAACGAGACTGGATCTTAACGTGGCACGATAGTTGGCGTACCTCCGTGACCCATTGAGCTAGGTGGGGTGGCACTTTCCAAGGGCGTTTAGAGTCACTCGTAACAGACAACTCAATGGTTAGTGGTCAGACTAACTGAGTCGCACAATCCAATCCTCCTCGGAGGTTAGAGAGAGATCGACGGCTCTGTTCATTTAAAACCTACCCATGAGAGACAACAGGTCTACGGGTTATAAGCTCACAGCTCCATTGCCGTAGAGTAGGAACGCGACGCATTGTTTCTGACAGTGAAAGGACACCACCTGGTACTCAATGGTTTTCCATTGCCCGCCTCGATCCAGTCAGCCCCTGATCAAATTGGTGCAAACACGCAGACTCTCATCTGCGGCAGGCCGTAGTCGCAGGTGCGTAACATACTACAGTCGTAAAATCTTCAAAGGCCGTATGTGATAGATCTCAAGCAGATCCCCAAGGGACTTGGTAATCATACTCCTGAGCTGGACTTGCTCACCACTGCTTTGTGGGTCAGGCTATTGAGCTAAAGGATACCGGTGGAGTCCCTCAAGCGAACCTCTATGTACCCCACTACCTTGTGGGTCAGACTGTTGTGTCAAAGGCTAGAGGTAGAGCACATCGAACAAAACCCCTCCCTCGAAACGGGCAACCAGTGAGTATCATCTGGCTACTCGACCACGTCGACTACACTCCCGTTTCTTCTTATTTTCCTCCCTCTTCTTCCCTTTCTTCTTCCCCGTCTGTTAAGCAAGAGACTACCGCTGACCTCGCAGCTGCCGCCATCGATACATGTAGCCCTTCCATCAGACTTAGAGTTTCATTTCACATTGGTGCTTTTAACGCCTGCACTGCAGTTCT